AATTGACATAATAAATCGAAAGGGTATATATATTTCTGAACTGCATTATAATTACATGTTGATTAGTGGATTTAGTAAAAAAATAAAACATTATCACATGGGAGAAAGTTTGTTAATATATAATGAGAAAGATAATACAATATCTTACTATAGAAATAATTATTGACTTAATCTAATCAAGCATTTATTTAATAGTGAAACATAAATTTCGATATTGTAGGTTAAACATATCATGAATTCTAATAGAGACAGATTTTTATATTCGATAATGAAAAATAAAATAATCATATAACTAAGAAATTCGTAGTTTTTCCATTATGAAGTAAGTTTTAAATATTTGTACATTAAAACCAGGACAGTTTGACTGAATTAAGTAAAATGAATTTTATATGTTGACATGTAGTTTTTATGACGTTTACTGTCTAGTTATAATCTCTTATCTAACAATTATCAGAATAATTCTTATTTAGAAATGGATTAATTGGTGAATTCTATGAAATATATGAGTATTTCACAATTGATTGATCACTGGGTGGCGATCAATGTCATGCACTAATAAGGACTAGACATGCATGACATTGATCGCCACCCAATGATCAATCGATTGTGATTACATCTCAGTCCTACAGGAGGTTAGTCAGGGCTCGGATAGCTCAATGGTAACGTCTCTGACTGTGAAGCTGGGTGACACGAGATCGAATCCGCCAGGAAACACCAGTTCCCTCATGATTACAGGTACACCTTGCTGACGAGTGCCAAGTAGCACGAAACCAGGGTTTCCTGTCGACTACCTCCAACTACCATCTAATATGAGTATTTGTTTTTGTGTCTAATTTCGAAACGAATTTGTAGGTAGTCTTCTATTATTATACTCAATTAGTTCTTAAATTCGATACCTTTGCAGATGTACAATTAGGAGTATTTATTTCATAACAGTGTCTGTAAAATTATCTTTTAAATCAATTTCTTTATTCATGAAATAACGATATGTTTGATAAAATTTGCATTTAGTTTTCAGTATGAACTAGAAAAAATGTAAAAAAGGTATCTGAATCCTCAGGGAACTGACAAGTTATTTGATTTAAACTTGAGAAACTGCTAAAATCAATGACTACTCACGTATGGGAATTCAAGATCTTTAATTCTTAAGAACGATACGATATCCTTAAATTGCCGATCTCAAATTCATTAGTCTCACTTTTCACCTTTATTCAGTGAACGATATAATATCACTATTATATAGTGTTGTCTATGTTATATTTCTCAATTTCAAAGTGTCTATTCTCCTTGTGCTCATTAGCTGTTATTATTCCGTGTAAACTAAATTTAAATTGAATAAATTTCATGAGTGGCTTATTTAAATAATTTGAAAGTCTTGTGATAATGAGGCCAATAAATCATTCTACTGGAGCAGATCAGAAAGAGTGAGCTCATATTAGAATTTGTGAACTAGTTGTTAAAAAGATACCCCGAAGTTTAATAAATCATTATGACCAGTATTTCACTTCTAATGTAAATCAGTTATCGAATGATTATTATGATTACTTTATCGATTTCAAGAGTAGTGAAAAATGAAGAAACTTCAGTTATCATAGAATAGCACTGTTAGGACCTAGTGCATAGGTGGGGACAATTAATTTATTGTTTAACACGGAATTATAGAATATCTTCGTAAAATATGAGAACTCTACACTAGATACTTCATTTGCAAATTTTCATCATTTGTCCTTCACATTCTGTATGATTCTTCCAGTTGACGATTCCTTTCTATTTTCTTATCTATTCTTATCAACTTGATCTTAAGCTTTTGCTGCCAGATTTTCCACTTTCGATTGATTCTACATACTACTTATGTGGACAGATAATAAGAAGCATACACTACGGCACTATTTATTTACAGTCTAAGTAAATATCTTATCAGTGTTAGTAATCATGAAATTAATATTTAGAATTTTCAGGTCATTTTTCGCATATACATATTACTGTTTGACATTTATTTTCATATAACACCTCATGCAAATGTGTGACACATAATGACAAATAGTTTGTTGACAATATTCACAACATTCTAAAAAATTTATTCAGTGAACATGACTTTGATTAATTTGCATAAAACAACATAATTCATTTTAAAAAGGTTATTTCTCAGTTATAAATTATACTAATGTTAAAATAAAAAAAACGTCGTAATAACACTTAACGAATGTAGTAAATTCTCTGGATATCCTTTAAGTTAAAAGTACAACTTGCTTAAGGAATTGTGTGAAGAAGTGATTTATTAATTCAAGATATTTTCTTCAAGAAATTGTTATATTTTCTAGAACTTCTAATGAATAAAAATGTTTTTCTTATGAATTACTTTCTAAGCATATGCATACGTTTAAAGAATTCATTGGTACTTCATTTATTAGAGTTTAAATATACTATGAATCACATCAGATAATGATGACTATTTTGAAGTAAATTATTATTAATATTCTTCTAGGAATTCTGGGAACCTTGTTCAAAAACAAATTTTTATGACGACATCAGGTTTTTTTTCCAGTTTAACGTTGAAACATTTCAAGTTTCAATTTGGATATCAGAAGATATATTTGTTGACAGCTTTTAATATTATATAGTCCACTGCATGTTAACATAGTTTCCTAATTCTTGAATAAAAACTAAGCTTTTGAGAAGTAAAAAATATAGTCACCTTTATAACATTCTTCTGTAATGGTAAGAAAAGATTAGAAATACGATTTATTTGCATCAGTCTTTATGATAAAATAAACGGCTACTTTTGATATGAAGTTCTTTTTTACCTTAATATAAAAACTTATTTTGAATAATAAAATATGTCGTTGGACCAACCAACAATGATATTCATCAGGACAATTGTAAAAAATTCTTTTTCCAAGTATTAGACAAGTGTAGGATTGTTCAGTGGCATTCCATATTGTTCAAATTTCGATGAAATGGTAACATCGAATTCACCAAAATGGCACTTAAAGTTTAACAAATTTCAAAACAGATCATTTTGTCAATTGAAGCTAGACCACCATGGAAAACCTGGGAACACTGGACGGCCGTTTCGTCCTAGTATGGGACTCCTCAGCAGTGCGCCGGCCGGCATCCAACGGTGTTAATGTCTAACTTCAACCAATCCACGAAGTTGCTCCACCATTGTCTTCAGTGAGCTGATATCCCACAACAGACCTGGTTGAACTCCACTGGTAACGGCTTCTCACTAGAACTCCAGGAGTATCTTCCTGAAGTCAGTCACCAGTGAGCAGATAATTATTATCAGAAGGGGTTTCTGAAGGTTTTAGAAATTTCACAGATTGAAATCATGAGTCAGTTGAAGCAGGCTCAGCGGTCTAGTTCGTCAAACGCCCGGCGCAAGACTGATAGGTCCTGGGTTCGAATGTTGCGGGGTGCGGGATCGTTGATGCGCACTACTGAGGAGTCCCATACTAGGACAAAACGGCCGTCCAGTTCTTCCAGTTTTCCATGGTGGTCTAGCTTCAATTGACCCATGATTTCAATCTGTGAAATTTTTAAAATCTCCACAAACCCCTTCTGATAAGATCATTTTGTGTAAGCTGGAATTAGTGGGAAACATTGGATTGTAATTTTAAAATATATATTCATTTTAAATTGCTTCTAAAATTTTAGAGCTATGGTATCTTTGTTTACAAGTTCGGACATTAGAGTTCATTAATATACTGAATATAACTTGATAAAATACCGTATGGAGACTTTACCAAGTAGGATACCATTCATCTTAGTATAAAACATATAGATTTTTGATATTTCATTTTCATTGAATCCCACAATAGATAGAGAAAAGATAGCATCTAGACGGTGGTTGGAGGTAGTCAACAGGAAACCCTGGACCCGGGTTTCGTGCTACTTGGCACTCGTCAGCAAGGTGTACCTGTAATCATGAGGGAACTGATGCTCCCTGGCGGATTCGATCTCGTGTCACCCAGCTTCACAGTCAGAGACGTTACCACTGAGCTATCCGGGCCGCGACCGACCTCCTGTAGGACTGTGATGTAATCACAATTGACTGATCATTGGGTGGCGATCAATGTCATTCGTGTCTAGTCCTTATTAGTGCATGACATTGATCGCCACCCAGTGGTCAATCAATTGTGAAATAGTCATATATTTCATAGAATTCACTAATTAATTCATTTCTAAATAAGAATTATCCTGATAATTGTTAGATAAGAGATTATAACTAGATAGTACACGTCATAGCTCAGTGGTAACGTCTCTGACTGTGAAGCTGGGTGACACGAGATCGAATCCGCCAGGGAGCATTAGTTCCCTCAAGATTACAGGTACACCTTGCTGACGAGTGCCAAGTAGCACGAAACCCGGTCCAGGGTTTCCTGTTGACTACCTCCAACCACCATCTAATCTCAATACATAGTGCCCGCAGTGTCGAGTCACCTAGACTGGTGGCCACATTGCAACATGATCGATAGCATTCGATCTGCACTAATAAGGACTAGACAAGCATGACATTGATCACCACCCAGCGATCAATCAATTGTGAAAAGATAGCATCGTTTCAATTTTATTCATTTTTTAAAAGAAAATTTTGAACTATTTAGCAACCAAATTGTGAATATCTATAAAATATAAGATTATTATGTGTGAAAACGAAAGATCTGATTATTTATATTTTATTATCATAATATTTATTATTTATAAACTGATTGTGATGTATGCATTACATATAGTCACTGTCATTCTCAAATCATCATAATGTGTTCATAATAATCTTATCATAATCATTCAGAGAAACAAATGAGAATAAATATACGTTTATAATTCGATTTTGTAATATTTATTTGATATATTTTATTCATAACTTGGTTGCTAAATTCAAAAAGTATTACATCAGTCTCTAATTCTTAATTTCTTTCATAACTTCACATAATAAGCTAATTTTTAAATAACAAAAAACTTTATTTTCAAGTTTGTATTTTTGTTTTGCTTTCAAGGTATTGGACTGGACATGATGCGAAATTTTTTATACATGTTATTCGAATATGTATGCGGTGGTGAATTGTTTAAATATCTTCGAGAAGTGGGCCATTTCTCATCTGAAACTACACGATTTTATACAAGTGAAATTATTTTAGCACTGAAATATTTACATAGGTTAGTTATTGTTTTTTAGCAACATTTTAAATCAAAACGTTTTGATGGAACCCTTGCAAATATATTATGTTGATTATCAAGAAACCAAATTTATGATTTTCTGTTGACCGTTTCCAACTGTGTAATGTAAAAAAATCCACTGTAATAAAAAATAACCACTAAACGATATATAGCAATTTGAAATGACATCAGTAGACCATCAGTAATGACTATATAACATGTTACACATTGCTATCAAGTAACACAGTTAACTCATAAACTGGACTTCTTTACCTCGAACATTGGAACTTGTTTTGATAAAATACTAACTACCACGAAATCTAAATTCAAGGCTTTCTGTTAACCACATTCAGTCATTTGCCAGCTATTGTTCACACTACTAGTTAAGACTTGGATAAAGTGACCTTCATACCTTTATTTGAGTACTCTGAATGTCAAATGGAAAAGACCAATAAAGGAACGAAATACATAATCGTTCATCTTCGATCATACTTTGTCTACTAGAAACGAATGTTCTGTAGTTATGAATTAAATCCTTAATGCCTATTTCCAGTCTAATTGTCTGTTGTTATGATCTCTGAGGAATGTAGTTTTGTTCAACTAAAATTAATTTGAAAATAGCTTGCAACAGAGATTGCCTTTAATAGACAATAAGTGAAAACTATGGAGCAATGAACAGCTGTTTCGTCTTGATATGAAACTTTCCAGCATGTGAAGACAGTCTTCAGTATAAATTTTATTTCAACTGAAGTGTTCAAAAATCTTTCATCCTAAATAACAAAATGAGATAATCAATAAACGTAAGGAATCATCATAAAACTTCTAGTGTATAAATAACATATAACTGCATTAGAAGTCTCTATACTTCATATTGAGATTTTTAAGGATTTATATATATATATATATGAAGTATCATGATGATGCTCCTATGAAATTTAGGTTTATTGTGGTTAGTGAATGATTATGAACATTCAGATACTGATGTCTTTTTTATAAAAAAAATATCTACGACCACTCAATTTAATAGTAAGTAAATTAAATAATAATAATGATTTCAATTTATCAATATAATGCAATGTATTTGGACTCGTACTAATCACTGTACGTCAAATCTCTTTTCACTGAGATTTTCGCTCAATTTATTTTTATGTTATTCATTCCTAGTCACTATCATCGAAGTAGTGATATCTTCCATGGATTAATTGTAAATATATAAATAATTATAAAACTCGATGACATACTCTTTTACTAAAATCCATAAGACTAAGAACATTAACCGTATTTACATCCTTATAAGATGAAAATCAGATCATATTTTTTTGTTACAGTATAAGTATTTTCTATTTGTGAAACATTTAAAAAAAGGTTATGATCAAATACTAAGATTATTATGGTAATTATACCAATGATGTAATTAGTTTTACAGAGATATGATGTGAAACATTTTTTTCCCATTCTCTCCTGTTTTGCAATTCCCATAGTTTCATTTAACTTACAATTAGCTGGTTAAAGCGGTAACCAATGTTATAGTTTTTACCTCAGTTATCTAGTTATAACGTAAATTTTTAGAAAAAAATATACTATGTCACCACTCATTTAACTAATAATAATACAGATAGAGTAATGAATTTCGATATCTTAACAAACTATTATTATGGTGGTATCAGTGAGTCCAGAACAGAAAGTTTATGAATATACATATTGAAGTGTTTTTTTTTTGACGGTTACATATTATGATGCATCGTTCAAACTAGCTAAAATTATTTGATTAAGTAGGCTGTTCATTATATACCCTTTTTCCCGTCATCTTTATTCTTTTTCACCTTAGTACGATTTAGAATATATATTAGTCACGGTAATATACACCATGAAGAATAAATGATACATGGTAGGTGATTACTTATATGATCTAATGGATGATGAAATCGCTGTATGAATATCTAGCTGTCAATTAAAGTATACTATTAATCTGTATATATTAAACGTAAAACGAGTATATGGTGTATTATATAATGCTTTTTGCATAAACAGTTGTAAGCCGACGGAATTATCAAATTCTTGGGAGTTTTATTTAACACTTTGTTATGATACTCAATCAAAAGCTTACTTGGAAAATTGTCTGCCTAGTTGTATTCTTATAACAAATATACTAACTCATGGATTTAACAAGTATGAACTAAGCTATTTATAAGAAAAAGTTTTCTATTCAATTTTTCTTGTGTTATTTTCAGTTTGAATATCGTGTATAGAGATTTAAAACCGGAAAATTTGCTTTTGGATTATTCAGGTCATTTGAAGATGACTGATTTTGGATTCGCAAAGCATGTTAAAGACCGGTTAGTTGACAATGTTGCTGTAAATCTGTAGAGTGAAAACGTTTACTAATGTATAAATATTACGATAATTTTTAATTCAATATGTTCGACCAAACTAAGGTAGTATTACAAGTAATAACTTCAGTTTATAAGGCAGACGGCTAAGAGGCCTATGATAGTAATGACTGTTTCTTTCGATTTTACCTAACTTTCTCTGCAAAAACTTTACGATAAGATTTTTAAGCATATGTTCAGTCAATAAGATTGATTCGTTACAAAGTGGTAAATAGGTAAGTGATCAGTTGGTGATGGTTATTGATCCCATTGCTAATTTGTTATTATGGTAGATGGGTTATGTCTTATCACGTTATGATATGTCCAAAGTAGAAAAGCATGATCTATTCACCCATAAAGAAATTACTATTAACTAATTTTGTAACATATCAGTTAATATTGCAAATTATTAGTTTGGAATAGATTAACCCATTTGCATTACATCTCTCAGTAAACATGACTTTTAGTAATCTATAATCTTGAAATTTTATGATGGAAATACTCGTGACTATACACTTATTAATTTGTTCATAGTGTTAAATTAGTTCGAATGTGTTTTTTCATTTTATTAATCATAAAATGAATAAAAACTTTTTAAAACTACATGTTATGCAAATATGTTGTCGTGGAGGAACAAAATTTGTCGTAGTGATTTGGACTAATCAAGACTTTATGAAATCTCGATCTAACAATAAAAAGCTTTAACTACAGAAAGTAATGAGTTATTTAAAACAATAAGTCCCTTTGATAAATTTCGATTATGCAATGAGAAGATGAAGTTTATCAGAATTATGTGATATATTTGCGCAATACATTTCGAACAATCTGATCACACATATACTTGTTAAGAACATTTTTATATGGAAGTTAAAAGGTCAACTAGACAGGTTAAGGGTAAGTCATAACAAAGGAAAAATATTGAAGTACACAAAAACAAATATGATTACCACTCTCGATAATAAATCAGTATTACCAGGGTAAGTTAAGTGTAAGGACAAATTGTTTTTGAACACATAAAGGGGGTTTCAATTTTCGTATAGCCAAGGCTTCAATAAACTTTAGTATACGTCCTTGAAGGCTCTTGTATAGTACTACAAATGCTGATTTGATGTCAACCCGTCTCAATCAAATGTTTCGCAATGAAGGATGATGTCTGTCTATCCTGTGATCTTATTTGACCATTGGAATCCATTTGTTTCTGCAACCATTTTGGTATGTGTTCACCCACCCTTAATTATAATGAGTTAATCTAAAATAAAATCATGCAAATGAACATAATATTTATCTTTTTTTTAAGCTTGATTGCTTTAAACTATACATTTGAAAGTATTTTCTAAGAAAAGCTAATTATTCATCTTCGCAACTGAAATAAATACTGTTTATAGCTGATATTCTTATCATTTCAAAACTAACGTGATTCTACTTTCATAATTATAAATAAATTATAAATAATAATCTTCTCAGAAAATGGTTAAAAAATCCAACATCGATTAACAAGGATAATCAGGTAGACAATGAAGGACAAAGTAATAATAAAAGTAAACGTACTTTATGTGTACGGACATGAATTATAAATTATTCTAATCGATTATTTGTGAGGATATGAACCATAAAAAAAACATACAAAATGAACAATCAAACACGAAGTCATTTTAAAATACAGAATTATTGACTCAATATGTACTATACTAATCATAAGCTTTGCAATGATAGAATTATTTAAATGGTTAAGATCATGAGTCAGTTGAAGCTAGACCATCATGGAAAACCTGGAAGCACTGGACGGCCGCTTCGTCCTATTGTAGGACTCCTCAGCAGTGCGCATCCACGACCTCGACCCTTGAGAGATTCGAACCCAGGACCTACTGGTTTCACGCGCGAGCACTTAACCACTAGACCACTAAGCCGGTAACCAACGGTGTTAATGTCTAACTTCAACTAATCCACGAAATTGAGCGACACATTCACCATTGTCTTCAGTGAGTTACCATCTCACAACAGACCTGGTTGAACTCCACTGGTCACTGCTTCTCACTAGAACTCCAGGATATACCTAGTGGTTAAGTGCTCGAGCGTATAACCGGTAGGTCCTGGGTTCGAATCTCGCAAGGGGCGAGGTCGTGGTTGCGCACTGCTGAGGAGTCCCACAATAGGACGAAACGGCCGTCCAGTGCTTCCAGGTTTTCCACGGTGGTCTAGCTTCAACTGACTCATGATCTTAACCACTGAAATTACTACAATCTCCACAAAAGCCCATTATTATAAGTAATGTTCAATATACGTAGATACTCTAAGAAAGTCTTCCTAGCCACAAAGTAGTGTAAGTTATAGGATGACAGAAATTAATTTTCTATTTTTAAAAGTATATTAAAGTTTTCAATCTTTAGAATACAGATTGATATTTCACAACATTTTGTCTTTCAGTATTAAAAAGAAATTATTGTTACGAATAAAAGCTATAGTGCGATAAGAGATTGTATAATGAGTTTGACTTGTAGATGGGAATTGAAGTAGCGTTGATGTTGATGATAGAATTAAACCAGACTGTTACATCGTAATAAGATATGTTGTTAAATTGTCGATTTTTTCCTAGCCATAGAAAGCTGCTATTGTTTTGAATAGAACGTGTAGACAGACAAGGATTTAGGATCCGGTATTTTCTTCGTCTAAAAACTGGAATAGCAAAATGGCATAATGAACAGTGTAATGTAGGCGGTTTTAGACAAATAACAATGTTTATATTAACTAGAAGAAAGAAAATAAAAGCATAGAGCAAGAAATCTGGAATTTACTACTTTTATTTTTTATTGATTCCTGACAAACTGATTTATAGAAGAGATCGTTTAAAACTAGCCTACCCTTTTGTTAATATCACTACAATAACGAAGAGAATGATGCAATTAGACTGAAGTCTGAGATTAATCAGATAATGTCTGAGGAATTTGTAATATTTGCCTATAACATAGTAAAAGAATAAAAGAGCATACCAAAGACGTTCTGTTGTCAGGTTCAGTTGTGAATCTTTACATCTCTAACGTCCCCTTGTACTAAGATATATTCTTTGATATAAGCACTCCTAAGATATTGTCAAAATAGTTAAAAATATCCACTAAATATTATAAAAAAATTGTAATTGATTGCTTTCACGCATAGACCGCTTCAGTTATCTTAGGTTTTTAAACATTTCGTCGTAGTGCAATTTTAACTTGAATGGAATCGGAATAAGAAAATCTCTACCTTTGAAATTGACAGTAAGCAGTTGAGGATATTGTCGAATTTCATTGAAACCACAGATCGATCGATGTAAGACCGTAGTGAACGACAACACCAATCGGGACAATCAAATGTATTCGAATAGAAAATCACAGAACATCTTAGTAACATCTGAGAACTATACAGCAAATTGACTGTTCCTTCTGCAAAATGTGAATCAATCATCTCAGACCTCATTGTTCTTTCGTTTCCACACCAATCATTCTCTGTTCTCGTTCTCTTTCCTTCTATCTTCCTAACCTTCTGCCTCCATACATTTCACTTTCAATTGGTGATACTACTTATATCTGTCGACACCGGTAGCACACACCACAAGACCACCACTAAAAACTTAGAAGCACTGTACGGCAGTTTCGTCCCAGCGCGCGACTCCTCAGCAGTACGCATCCAGGTTCCCACGCGTCGGACTTGAACCAAGGACTTTTGGGCTCGCGCAGCCCGTTCAGTGCTTCCACAAATTCAATAGTAGTCTTGCATTGTACGGTTCATGATTTCAATGAACATCAACATTGAGTTGAGAATGTTTTAAATTCTTGCTATTATGAGTTCAACAGAACTGCCGCATGTAAAAGGCAACTGATTAAAAACCCTTAAAAAATTATCAGATTTAGATTAGCTTCTGATTCTACAAGGGATCATTTTCCGTTTCGTTGCATCTGGATTCTTGATATAAAGTACAGTCATAGAGGAAGTAAAGATACCTAAAGCAGATTCTTCATTAGTTTTATCTTCAATGAAAACATTACTCATAATTATAGTGTTCTTTGATAGAATATATACCATGTACAATGAAGTCTATGCAAACTACTCAGTATGTAACAAAAAAGTTGACATCACCTTAATATCTGCTTAGTGACATATTATAAAAAAACAAGCTGTAGACAAATCTACCACTCAGTAAAAACAAGACCACTTCATGTCATTTATGAAGAAGCTTTATTAGTGATGAAGATCACTCAGGCAAGCCTATCTGCTTTTTTCAGTACTATGTCCTAATTCATACTTCTTGTACATTGGTGAGATCTTGTTGAATTCCATTGTAACGCAATTTTGTATGTCAATGATCGTGTGGGAAAATGAATACTAAAACCAGAAAAAAGTTACCCGTGTTGAAATAATAATAAACATCACTTATGAAAGACAATAAAAACCAAATATCATGGAACATTACCTTGTATAACACCGCTTATAACTGGATGTACGTTTGATAGTGAGGAATCTAAGTAAATTTAGTATCAATGACTCAACCACTCAAGAAAAAGCTTTTTTTCCATACACAATCTGAGTTTACTCATAAGAGTTTAAAAACGTCCTATTCCGGAAAAAAGAGTTGACAAAGCTATTTTTTTCAAAACTATGTGTATAATGATGTCTTAATATAGATGTACAGGTTAATTAGTTTTTTAATGACAAACAATTATTCACTAAAATACATTTTTTATTGATGTAGCTTATAAACAATTAGTTCTATAGTCAGTAATTAGGAAATGTTCTCGTATTTTTTTATTTTTACAAAACTTGTGTAAATGAGATAAATTTTAAATGAAAGAGCATGGAAATATGTTGGTTATTGGTTCGGATAATAAACAATTCATCTAAACATTTTAAATTATCACAAACGAACACCCTACTGAGTATGTCACCACAGAAATTTAATTTATATTTATTAGTCAGAACCACATAAAAATGATATCATTAGTTGATACGTTGTTTCCTATGATGTTTCATCTACTTTCAGAACTTATTCACTTTGTGGTACACCAGAATACTTGGCACCTGAAATTCTCCAGGGTAAAGGTCACAATCATGCTGCTGATTGGTGGACTACAGGAATTATTATTTATGAAATGTTGGTTGGGTACGTTTTATCTATTTATTTAAGATCTGTTTATTTCCATCTTCCAAGTAATCACATAATTAACCCATTTCCGGATATGTTACTTTTTTGGTCGATTAGTGTAAACTAGGATAATAAGTTGAAGGATGGTCGATCGCAAATGTAAATTTCAGATTCACAATAAGCAAAATAGCTATCTATTAGGGTAAGAAAAGTCATGCATTATTACTTATTGTAATGATTCAATCTGTGATGTGATCGAGAAGATCAATTTTTCTGAATAAGCAGATGTAAAATATAGTTGTGAGTATGATCAGTCACCAATAAAGAGTTAGACTTAATCATCGGCCAATAGGTAGAAAACTTAGCGTTATAGTGAAGTGAAGATCCAAAAATGAAACGTTTATATATCGGTCAAAAATTTGTTCTGTTAATGCACACATGAAAAACAAAGATAGTCGATATGATTAAAAAAAGGGTAGAAAAAAACATCTCGTTTTTATTTTACTTTCATATATCACTCGGCGTTCATCAAACCACACGGCTGTAACCTAAATCTCCAACATTTAAATCAAACAGTTTCTTTTTTCTAATGAATTTTATGTTTCGTTTAATTTTCTTTCAAAAACAAAATGTATTTTCGTTGATAACAAACATCCAAATATTCTGTATAATCAACATGAGTCTTATAATACATAAAGTCGATTACGTCTATTTTTCATGCCTGAAGGCAATTTTTGTTGCACTACAGACTCATTATGTCTTTCTTTAATGAATTTATTATTATTATTTTTTAAAGTTTATTTTTAAAACATTCAATAGAACGGTTCATTTCTGTTATAAGCCCGTTACATTTGCTAAAAAAAACAACGACCATTAGCATTCACAGGTTTAGGCAAATTACATGAAAATTATCTGAATTTGCTTAACGTTTGAGGTATATTGTTTCATTCAAATTTATTGTTTATTTATCAATCAATGGATGATTTTATCGTTTCATGTAGAGCCTAAGGTTTATTTACTTTAATAACTTTCTTGTGAAAAGCTGAATAGTAAATAAAAATAACTTACACTGATGTTGATATAATGCCATTGACGATTGAAAAGAATTATTTATGATAAATATAATTTGAAGGAACTCGGCTTTCAGTTTGAAACTACGGAGTTCCTGAGAAGATTGTCAATATTATCCAGAACTCATACGACGGACTACAGTGCAAGGTCGTGCATGGAGGATAGCTGACAGACGCATTCCAGTAAGGACCGAGTCAGACAAGTCTGCCTACTCACTCCCTTCCGCTTTCTTCTGGTGGTCGACTGGATTATGAAGACCTCGACATCTGAGGGAAAACACGGAATACAATGAACGCATACACATGAACAAATGCAGATAAAGACAGCCAGTGTAGCAACAGACTCTGCATCAGTAGGCCTCAACATACACAAAGGGAAAACCAAGGTCCTCAAACTCAAAACGGAGAACAGCAATCCAATCACTCTTGATGGCGAAACTCTGAAAGATTAGAGTCCTTCACATACCTGCGAGGCATCATCGATGAACAAGGAGGTTCAGATGCAGACGTAAAGGCGAGGATCGGCAAATCAAGGGCCACATTCCTACAATTGAAGAACATATGGAACTCAAGATAACTTTCAACCAATATCAAGTCAGAATCTTCAATACCAACGTCAAGCAGTTCTACTGTATGGAGCTGAAACTTGCAGAACTACAACAACTACCATCAAGAAGATGCAAGTATTTATAAACAGCTGTCTACGCAAGATACTCAACATCCGCTGGCCGGATACCATCAGCAACAGCATTCTCTGAGAGAGAATACGCCAGCTTCTAGCTGAAGAGGAAATAAGGAAAAGACAATGTAAATGGATAGGACATACATTGCGCAAGTCGTCAAACTGCATGACGAGGCAACCCTAACTTGGAATCCTGAAGGGACGTAGAAAAGAGGAAGGCCAAAGAACACATTTACGTCGGGAAATAAAAGCAGATATGAAAAGGATGAATAGGAACTGGAAGGAGCTGGAAAGGATTGCTTGGGACAGGGTTGGATGGGGAATGCTGGTGAGCGGCCTATGCTCCTTCACGAGGAGTAACAGGCGTAAGTAAGTAATTTGAAGATTTAACTTTATAAAAACGAGTAAACATAAAATTTGTTTAAATTGAGTCAATTAATTCTTTAACGTATTGCTTGTTTTTTTAATTAATTTATCCTGCTTTACTTAACTTTAAATTGGATGAATGATCATTCACTGTCTGTAGTCGTCCACCATTTTATGATGAAAACGATAATCGATTGTATATATATCAGAAAATTGTATCAGGAGATTTTGACTTCCCAGACGAAATCGTAGATGAAAATGCTAAGTAAGTAGCGTTTGTTTTGTGCAGTAATATATTTTATGACCCTATATCGTTGTTTACCTGTGTTAAAGTTAAGAAATATTATGTTGGGGAAAACATATTTTATCTGTTTTATAAATTAAACCCAGTTGATAACTGCCTTATTCATAGATTCACTATATTAACATTAGAAATATATGATTCTGTTGCTTATCTAAATGGGAAGTGTAGTACATTCAATCATTATTTTTCGCTATTTATTTTCTGGTTTTCCATCACTTTCAAACTAATTCAACATTTATCAAATCATTTTAATTCAGCTGGATAATTTACTTTTAAAAATATGCGGCTTAATAATTAATGCTGTTTAAATTTTTCTCATAAATTTGCCAATAGTTATAACTGACCTGATATTATTTTGTGTAGCATTGAAATTTCATGTTAATAATCATTTATTCAGGATTACTATTTAAGCTAATAAATGTTTGATGTACGAATCTTATCAATCAGCACACATAATGACAGCTCCAACTGACAAAAATTAAAAAGAGTTTGTATACATCACGTCACCGATAATTTCCTACCTAACGTACTTGCATTACTCCATGTTTCGATTGGGTGTACTGTCTTCTGAGTCATTTAAACGTTGAATAAATTTTTATTCATGTAAGCAATTGATCGGTACTCAAACATTTCTGATATTCCAGTGTCTGTCTCATTGGGATACTTTCTAAATAAATTTCCTACAGGCTGTATTCATTGAAGGCACCATAAGTCTTATCTTTCTCTTATCAAACACTTTTTTGAAAAGTCTTAGATTCAGTAGAGAACAAATATATAAGCAATAAATTGTTACCATCGTCCATTTAAAGACATTCAAGTCGTTTATGCTAAACTTATTCAACATTTTAAAAAATCTTGAAAATATTTTGGATGATTACACTTAAAGATTAAGTCATGTGAATAGAAGTAAAATCTGTTACCACAGCACAAATATGCTATTTTTATGTCACTAACCTTACCAAAACAGGACAAACAGGGAGAAAAACACTTTTATTATATAATATTAAGAGCTGAGTAAATAGCTACACAAATGTTAATCGTTACATGTTTTAACTGTACGTAAACTGTAAAAATCTTTACAACATGTTCAACAAATGTTATTACTCCGAATTTCAAACGTGTCCAATATTGTATGCAAAGATGGATAGTGGCCAGCAGCGGAATCCAGGACGCCCTTTTCTTCCTATTTGGGACTCGTCAGATGAATGTACCTGCACTACAGAGTTGATGTTCACTCCGGAACTCGTACTCAGTACCGTCCGCTTCAAACGCCATCGCGTTATCTACTAAGCTACTGAGACCTGATAGCCACTTGCTTTTGCAATTAGGTGAAGTTTAAATTCACTTGGTACTGTTTGTTTGAATATTCCTATTGATGTTTAGGACCGCAATTGATTAGTCACTTATTGGCATATGTGCATATTGTGCTAAGTGGATAACTCGATGCCGTTTGAAACGAACGGTACTAGGTTAGAGTCCCAGAGTGAACACCAGCTTTGAGATACAGGTACATCCATCTGATGAGTCCCTGATAGGACGAAATGCGCGTCCTGGATTCCACTGCTAGCCACTATCCGTCTTTGCATACAATGCTCGTGAATTAAGGCTCTATCGAGGCAATACGCACAGTATGCACATGTGTCAATAAGAGACTGATCAATTGCAGTTCGAAACATTAATGGGAAGATTCAAACAAACAATGACAAGTGTCCAATATTATTTCGATTTCTATATAGGCAAAATTTAGCGTAATACACGTATTGGTCAGTTTTAACTTTCATGGTCGTTTTTCGTTTCATTTTATATGGTATGTCTTGCAAGTTATCATCTAAAAAATAAAATTGAATATATTTTTTTAAACCAGAAAAGTAATTCATCGAATGTCAAGATTCATTGTTTTGTTTTTATTCATTTTCGTTCTTTCTCATATTTATCTACTCAGTTTTATTTTAATGCATTTTATTGTCACAAATAGATCAATCGTCAGGAAATTTTTACGTGTGAATCTCAATGAACGACTTGGCAGTTCTAAAGTAAGAAATAAAAACAATTTTTTTAAGGATAGAGAAATTTCTTTTAGAGTTCTTAAAAGTTCACATCATCATCTGCGGTGTCTTTTATTAAACTAATGAAATTATTTCATACACATAGTTCCCTTTATCATTTTGAAAAGAGCAAGAACAAAGATTCTAGCAGAATAGCATGAATTCATTTTATTTCGTAGGTTCTCGTCAGCTGCTTACAACCTGTGAGCAGCTGACGAGAACCTACGAAATAAAATGAATTCATGCTATTCTAATAAAATTATGAATGATAACTTTTTAACTGTATGGTAAACTTACAATTGTCTATAAGTTGGTGCTTTTCTGTTCTTAATGTTCAGATATGAATTAAATCAATTTTTTCTTCTTCAGAGGATCCCTTAATATTTTATACATTTTTATGTTTTTCAACAAAACTCATTATAAAGAATAATAATATTGATAAAGATTACTTTGTTTAACAGTTTACTGACTAAATCTTTTCAGGAGTTTAGTTGATAAAACAATGGCTTATGAAATGATGGATATTATTTAAACTTATTATGAGTATCAATATTAGAATGCAGAAACATCCATTTAGCGAATCACAAGTAGAAAGAAGGACCCTACAATGCATTCCACTTTTAATTTGTATTGAAAAAAATATAATTTTGACCTTCCTAAAAATGAATAAGACATTGATAGAATTCTTTCTTCTCTCTGATGCCTCTTCTAGAGCTCTTGTGGTTGATGAATCTAACTGGCGTTATTCTGATAAGAGATTTATTATCTCAGCTATTTGAGTTAAATTGTTTCATAAACATGTTAAGGACCTTGATTTATGAAGTAAATCAGCAAAACCTAAACTTTCAACATTAATCAATATTGTTGCGAAAATGGTATACATCAATTAGAGGCAAATCTAAATGAGAAACAATACACTTATTTGTTTCTAGAATGTCAAACAGTTTATTTTCCTGTTGTTTGTTTTACATTTTTCAATGTAATAAGTTACTAATTACAGATGCTTTCTTGATCGCAACCTTGTAGAAATAATCATGATTTATGGATTAGATTAATTTTTAGTTAGAATTTAAGACTGCCGCTCAGTGTATACACATGATTCAATCACAGATAACACTTAAGACACACGAGAATGTTATTTTTAAACGATTTAGCTAACAGTTCAAATTTACAACTTCAATCAACTTGTGATAAAGCTTAACAATGTTTTAATATCAGGACTTTGTCAAAAAGTGAAAGGAGATGAAAATAATCTAATTAATTGTTAATCTTATTTGAGGGAAACTGAAAAGATAAGTGAATACTAGATCATTTAGATTCAGTATCAAATGACTGAATTTTAATGAAAACCAGTTACTATTTGCAAATGACTTATTAATAATCTTTGAGAATTATACTGACGAGAAATGTACCTTTTATTTTTGTTTATCTGTGTATATTTTATTACAGGATAGTATGTATGAAATATTAGAACATCCGTGGTTCAGTGATATTTGTTGGAGTGATGTTTTCCAGAGAAAGTTAAAGGTGATTTAGTATAATTCTATTTCATATGAACTATTGATATACCTTTTAAAATGAACGAAAATTAAAATCACTAAGGGACATTTCTAATATCAATAGACTAATTACAGAAGCTATAAAGGACATTTCAAAATATATAATTGTAACTGATTAACTCAGTACATATCCACACATTTTGTTTAAAACTAATTAATGGTATCAAGCTAACTAAACGAAAGTAACCAGTGAAATTCTAAAATCTACTATTTCCCATTATCATTAATAAACTGAAACACTATGTTTGAAGTCAGAGACTTATTGACTGTGAGTGTAGTTTGAACATAAAGTTAATGGAATACCTTAGTCATTAGTAATGCATAATGAAAGTACATTATATGTTATCTTTAAATATCACTCATTGTCTACGCCATGATTTATTTTCGAAGTTACATATTACATTGTTATATTAAAACCAGTGATTCACAGTTTTTTTTTTGAAAAAAATAGAATCAACATGTTTGACGATAACTGACTGACTGGGTTGTAGCATTCATTTAATCGCACATCGAAGTGAGTCTAACAAGCAGTTTGTTCAAGTGAACAGTTTTACGCACTCTGGTTTTAGATGTATATATCGATTACTGACAGTAATCTGTTCACTTTAAAACTAAGTGGTACATATTATTGATGAATTTTTAAGGTGAAAATTTATTTCAGCTAGAGAGATTTAGATTAATTGTTCGAAGCTTTATTAGTTGAGCTATGATACTCGATCACTTGAATTATCTTATGTCTATTGACTTCTTAAATCTACCCTGTTGAGTTCAAGCAGGCTGGACATAAATAAATTATGATGGTTCATTATATCAACAATCATAATTTACTTAACTAAAGCTGTTCTTTTTATTATGCTTATTTATTTTATTTGTCACAAACACATGTTTGAAGTTGAATGCATATAGTTGAGGTACTAGGAAAAAGAAAATTATGATCAAACTCATATGGTTCCATTTAAAAAAGCTTACAGACGATTTGGTACACATTACCAAATGCTGAAATTTGTACCAAACGCCAAAGTTGAGCTTTAGCACTTGTATGTATTAAGTGTTATTTCTGGCTCGAACTATTGAATCTGGCACAAAAATATAAGTCTTCATATTTCTATATGTAAACTCTTACGAATGAAATGAGCACCAAACAAAAATTGCCAGGGTGATTATATGCATGATTACTGTAACTGAATCGACATAAATTAACTAAATTTAGTTCTCAGCAGATTTATTCGAAATAAAATGAACGGTAAACTTAGCTGATCTATTAGTGACTGCAGAACTTAAAGAAATTTCACTGTTTTATAGTTTTATTTATTGAAGTAAATTGATGTCTATTGTTAGGCGTTTGGAGTTAATCGATATGTAACTGCATACCCAGCTCTCGTGCTTTTTGGCATCCCTAAGCAAAGGTAGACCTGTGATATTGATGAAACTGGTACTTTCGGCGAAATTATAACCTACATCACCAAGCTTTGTAGTCCGAGGTGTTATCATTTAGATATTCTTCTCTTAACTGACCTCTTGTGAGACTGAGATATTTACAACTGATGAATCATTGAGTAATGACCAATATTGTTTATGTTTAGGTCATTATTGTTGACTAGTTCACTAGTCTAATTTAATTGAATGCAGTGTGTTAATATATTAGGTGGTTGGACGAAGTTGATCGATAGCTCTGGAGGTAGGTTTCATGCAATTTTTTAATCGTCATCACAAGTCACTTCTTGAAAATAGCATATTTATTACTGTTTATGTCATCATCTTTTCATGGACTCATAATTCAAGTGAAAAATATTAACGTCTGTAAAGGTACCACGTTTCTTGTTAGAAGAGGAACTGGTTATGCACCACAAAAGTGAGTAACCTTCAATCCTGACACAGAGAAGAACTATACATTATTACATGTTTTCTTGTAGAATATCTAGTAGATCACTTCTTGATAAAATGCTTTGCACAGGGAAATATATAGTTATAGATGCATATATACAAGCCAGTAAGTTATTTTTTTCTAAACAAATAATTCAGAGGTACTGCAGTGTGCCAGCTGTTTTATGTAAATATCAAAATTTATGTAATTTTTAACTCCTGTACAAAACCACATGCAGCTCCTCACAGAAATAAAACAATAACGATCAAATATGTCAGCCGTTTTGGCAGTTGAAAGTTTAACAAAGTATGAAAATCATGGTGATCTACCTTTCCAACTTATTAAAAGTAAGGGGCCTAAAATAAGAGTCGTATTTAGCCATTTCTGACAGTTGTTTGTCTTCTTAACAATATTAATAGTGTCATACTATCGTCAAGAAAGTCCATCTAACTTTCTGTTAATAAATAATCATTTATTTCTGTTTAATCTAATTGGTAAAATCCAAATGTCAGCAAACCAACTCTGACCATTTTACTTGATGATATTAGTTAGATTCTATGGAATACTTAGAAATGGTAGATAATCTATATAAAAGATATTTTCAGATTCGATAATGAGATATGTTAACAGCAACAATTAATAAATAATTTATTTTTCCAAAAAGAGGAAGGTATTTTGGAAGTTTCCAGAATTTTGAATAGAGGATATGTCTAATTGAAGTTCGGTGTCATTGACTATGCCTACGTATAACTAAATGCTAGACTGAATGTAGGATCTTATAGTCTCCTAGACAATGTAACACTATTGAAGCAATTTTTTAAAATACAATGGATCACATTCTGTAGTATATATACATATCATTGACCAATAACTCCTTTTTTTAATTATTTTAGCCCCCAATCATTCCCAATGTACAGAGTGATGGTGATACCTGCTGTTATGAACAGTATTTTGAACAAGATTGGTCCGAAATTCCCTTATCCAGTATTAGTTCTCGTAATTTATTCAAAGAATTTTAATGGAAAATATATACATTACAATTCAATTCATTTATCTACTAATAATGATGAACTTTACACTCAACAAACCATCAGTTTATTTATTGATCTGAGTTACAAATAAATGTTCAATTATGAAATACTTTCAAATCTAAGCCAAATAATAAAATGAAATTCATGGTTAACTGACAATAAAAATGGATATATGATTATTCCTGTGAAAAGGTATTTATCATTCATACAATATGCCATCACATTTCCAATTAATGTATTGATATTTATATTATATTTACATCAATAACATTACCATTGAGAAACTAATTTGCCTCCATTTATTACCTCTTTAATGCTTGTAATGGTTATCAAAACAAAAAAAAAGAAATATATGAGTTTTCATTTTTCTTGTGTGTGGGTGTATGTGTGTCTATTTTAAATCTGTCAACTAAACTCAATTGTTCTGTACAATATTATCATTATTAAATTTTCTTTTCATGGAAACAAAATCAGCTATATCAACCATTATAATATTAATCTTATTGTCTAATTGTATTTCACTTGATCTAATTCTAAAGATCTTTATGTATAAAAAAAAACTTTTTATTCTAATTCACAATTCAAAATGATCTCTATATCTGAAGTATAAATCTTTTACTTCATTTGAAGCCCCTTTTTTTCTCCTTTATTGATTAATTTGTTTTTCTAAATTGTTTGTATCGTAAATTGTTTTTTTTTTCATTTTACATGATGAATTCAGAAATATCTAACTATTTGATCATCTTTTCTTTTTTCTTTAAATTAATGAATAAACTTAATTTTTCCTCTTTTTTTCTTAAGTTGTATAAGTGAAATAAATTGGGTTTTTTTTCTATGATATATTAGTATAGTTAAATAAGATAATGAATAGATTTTCTTTTTCTAATGATTGTGTTATCACATACATAATAATAACAGCTCCAATTGACGAAAAATTAAAATAAAAAAGAAAAGAGTATGTAAGCATTATGTCACCGATAATTTCCTATCTAATGTACTTGTATTACTCAATGTTTGATGAATTGAGTGTACTGTCTTCAGAGTCATTTAAATGTGTATGTAAAATGAATGAAAGTTTACAGTAATATTAACTTAGTATTATAGTTAAATGAGATAATGAATAGATTTTCTTTTTCTAATGATTATGTCTTATGATAATATTTAATGTTGCCCTATATCTTCCGGTGTTTTTTGTTTGTCAATGTTCAATTGAATGTATTGTATTTTCTTATATTTCATTTTGTTATAATTTATCTGTCATAAAAATGAATTTAGTGGTTAATTATTTTTATGGCATTTGATTTTCATAATTCTTTATCTTTATTTAAATGATTGTACTATGAATGATATGAGAAGAACAAAAATACAAAACAGAATGAAAACTATCTATAGATGTTACTGAATTGAATGATTATTATTATTATTATTATTAATGTAATTTCATTTACCTTTCTACTATTCACTTATTCTAAAGCAGTGAAAATTACGATTAAAATGAAATATATTCAAATATAAAGTTAAGATTGAAATAAAGGAATTCTATTGAGGATTTTTCATATACGGTTACTAACTTATGAAATTGAATAATAAATAAGATTACAAAAAATGTCATGAATTTAAATATTATCATTATTCAGCGAAGAAAATTTTCTTTTCGACGAAATCATTTACTTAAGCTGTACATTCGTATATATAGTTATATGGAAAATGTATGTCTATAGAAGGATAGAATGGATTGTATCACAAAAATGGATTCGACAATAAATAAGAAATGAGGTTAACGTACTAATCAAGGGGTAAGGAAGAACAAAATTTAAGGGTCAGATAATAGTCCAATTGACAGATATGAAGAAAAACGACAAAACAACAAAGGTCACAATAATAGACTGAATAATAATCAAGAAAACTTGTAAAAGGTAATAATAATAAATGATTAGAGTTTAAAGTGCACTATGGGTTATTTTAATTATCATTATTCTTGAAGGTGTAAGATAAATGTAAGGATGTTCATTAGGAAATCTAAATACCTAGATAAGATTCTCTATGTTGTACTCGTATTAATAAATTATCCATCAGAATAACTAATTCCACTTAATAATAATGCAAAAACAAAACTCATATATCAATCTGTAGGATATACTGCTAAGTTGAAATTATCATTTTAATTGCATTCTAAGTGATGACAATTTCTATTAGCCACAGACTTGAGAAACACACACAGTCATAAGGTTGTATTGCTGAGTTTTAAACTGATTCGATGAAGCTATTCAATTCTCTCTAGATGATTCAAGTTCATATCAAAAATGTATTCAGAATTATGTCTAGATGGGGAGATATTACAAAAGTTTGGAATACTTGTTTATTATAATAATAATTTACTTAATAGAGATATCATCCCACTAGCTGTACAAGTATACAATGAATTTGAAAGCAGTGACCATAAGATAATGGTTTGTGCTCTCCCTATCTATCCCTATTATAACAGACTCATGCAGAATCCCGCCAATATTGAGACTATAAGCATGTTGACTGGGACCTCCCGCGCTCAGTGGTTAGATTTTCAGACCGGGATAACTTTTTCTCATGTAATAGTCTCGTGGATGCCATCGACACATCCTATCTGATCGTTAACTCTCGTCTAGATTCTTGAGCACCCCTTGAAACGTGCAGTTTTAATAAACCTTATGAATTATATATGCCAGCTAAATATCGTAGTAAACCAAAGCGCCTACAGAAACGTTATTTTAAATCAAATGACTTCATGGCAGCTGCACAAATAACAAAACTGTTTAACCAAATTAATGAGAAGTACAGGTTAAAAGCCATGAACGAGGAGCTGTTGGCACTTAATACTAGCACAAAAGTACAAAACCTAATTCTCCTTCTCAATAAAAGCGTTAAAGTAATTCAAAATCCTGATATACCATGCATCCTGCATAATAGCAATTTTATATACTACTCTAAAGCTATAGCAGACCTTTTCATTGGTACTTTTGTGAATGGTAGAGAGCTCCTAAATGGCACTGTTTCAAGAGTCATATGCGTGACTTGTGACTCAATAAAATATATATCCTTCACATAACTAAACGTTAGTGAGGCTATAAATTCCCTTAAAGTCTCGGGTAATCATGGATTCCATCCTTTCTCTACAAATATGGTGGTTCAGATATTCCTTTTCTTCTTCTAAAGCTGCTTACTGTATGGAGTCAGGTGCTTACTCTCGCTATCGGAAAACCACGTAAATCATATCATGTTACAAATCCGGAGATAAGACTGACATGAACAATTATCGGCCCATTAATATTATTCCAGTGATCTCTAGGATTGTGGGAAAAATTATTAGTGACGAACTCTCCAACTATTTCCTAGCTAAAAACTTTATCAATGGTGCTCAACATGGATTTCTTAAAAATCGACCTTGCGTGACATGCCACTGTGACTTTTTTTAATCCAGCCTATTCTCAACGTAACCAGGGGTATCTAGTCTTAGTGATATACTTGGACATTTCTAAAGCCTACTACATGGTTAACCACCAACCTACGGGGTCCCAAACCCTTTGCTTGCTTGGTTTGGTTCCTTCCTCAGCAACCGACATCAAATAGATAAAATTAACTCATCATTGTCGAACGCTGTCCCTGTTAGAAGTGGTGTAATACAAGTTAGTATCTTAGGCCCTTTGCTCATTGTAGTTTTTTGTGTGGGTAAGCCACTTCTGTATTCAGAAGATCTTAAAGTAGGGTAATCATTTTCTCCTCATGAGCTGAACAATATGCGAAATTGCATCAGCATGGAGCTGATGCATAACAATGAGTCGCGTACTTTAATGTACAATGTTTGTGTTTGGCCACTCCTGGAATACTGCACGTTTACTTTTAGTAGTGTGCGCATAAAGTATAAATTAAGGTTGGAATCAGTAGAGAGACGACTTACACTTCAGATTCTTAGAACTGATTGCATCTTGAATTATAATTCCAGATGTAATAAACTTGGGCTCGACTGTTTATGGAAGAAGAGACCCAAACTAAATCTAATCTTTTTCTTCAAAATACCTAATAAACTATCCTTTACATCCAGTCAAGTAATTCAATATGTAGAAACTTCTAATTATGACACCTGTAACTGCTTGTCACTAGTGAAACAAACTCATTCTAAATCATCTCTATATATGGATTACTTGACCTGTAAATTTTCGACACTCTGGAATGACCTACCATAGTCTATCCATAAGATAAAATCACTCCCATTCTTTGTTCCCTGCTCTTCTAAAAATGCATTAAATGTTTTCGCACCTGTAAATGTATCTTATTCCACAAGTGAGATTATAAGAACTTTAAATGTTTAGTCATTCTTGTTACTGAATTCACTAAGTAAACCCCCTACCTTCTGTTACTATATGTTAACACCGTCCCTTGTATCCCTAACTAATTTGAATAATATCTTACATGAACAGTATATCAATAAGTCACATGACACATACATTATGATAAACCTGATTGGCATATTTTAGTAATTATTGCTTTGTTGTTCCGTGCTCTCTGTTTCCATTCTTACTTTCTCTAGTTGTAGTTATGACACAGGAAATGATCTTAAATACACCGTATATAAATCAACAGGATATCCACTTAAGAATAATTAAAATTTCACGTCTAGTGCATTTCATTGCTGTAATACACATCATAAATATACTACCTAAACAATTTTTGAACTAGTAAACTTAAAACAATCTATATTTAATGTTACTAATCATATCAGACTGATCATACCTGTAAACTGGCGTGAATTCTGTAATCATTATTATTATTATTTGTATTATTTGTCATTGAAATTTTATGCGTGTTATTAACTTGAAATGAAAACTACGTTTTACGTGATATTTTTCTAAAAAATATTCCAATTACGATCAATAATAATTTCTTTATAATTAGATGTTAATGATTAATGGCTTCTCTTTATTTATCAAAATAATTGTTTTTCATACATAGAAATC